AAAGGTATTTTGTGAAAATTACGAAGGCCTTTTTTCTTTTTAATGCTTAAAAATGAACATTTTGAAAAAATTTGCTTAGTTAACGATTGAAAATATAAAGCACTTGTGGTACTAGGCTTTCCAACTCAACAAGGCTAAAAAAGCATTCTGTTGCTTTTTAAATTATTTTTTCTTTTGAGAAAAACATAAAGAGTCCTGTACTTATTTTTATATGAATATGCTTCAAAAGTTTTACATGTTGAACTATATTACCTGTTATACTAAATTATCATGTTATACCATATTTGCTTAGCGTATGCTTTCTGCTACAAATGTTAAAATTATTCTTTGTCCATATTTCCTGTCCCTCATTATTATCTATTATTTGGATTTTTTGATCTTGCATTTTCAGTACTTCTTGTGTTCACTAAAGACAAATGACTTTCCCGTTTAACAGCTATGGAACTTGCGCTGTCTTTGGAGAAATTGACAAATGAGAAGCTTCTAAACTTGCATGCTGTAAGTCATGCCTTTGGACTTCTAACAAAAGTGATGAAATAAGATTAAACATTGACATTGTAGCAACGGTTTAATGAAATACATTGAAGTTAGTGTCATGAAGAAACCAATTTTCATAACATTAGTTCCACAGGAAATGGAGACTGACATGCTTCGACTTTTCAAAAACAGGTAGCCTCTCGAAAAAATGATGTGCAGTTGACTGATTTTGTTGAAAGTGAGTTCTTGGCTGAGCAGGTACTGGATCATCTTCTGTCAAATATATTCTTTTATCTGATTTAAATGCATAGGGATATATCCCTATAATGTTGAGATGCTTTCTAAGAATTTTCTTCGTTCTTAGGTGGAATCCATCAAGAAGATATCAGAATACGTTGCCCAGCTGAGAAGAGTGGGCAAAGGACATGGTACGGATACAACATTCCCATTTTTCAGTGTCTTTTATATGGTGGATGCTCTTGGGTTTTTAATGCCTTCAATGAACTCATTTTCCTGCTTTTTGTAACTATTTTTTCCGCTGTGATTGTCAGGCATTTGGCACTTTGATCAGATGCTCCTCCGTGAAGAGGAAGTTGTTGCCTAGACGGGAGCTTGATTTTTCTTCTTATGCCATCTTCCAGAGTGGTTCTTTGTGGTATGCTTTTTAGGTTTTGCCGAGACATTTTTAGTGTGTTAGCAGTAAATATGGACTAGTTTAGTGGTGAAGATTAAAAAATTTCAGTAGATGCTGCTGTAAAATTTTCTAAGATAGAACACGAATGAATGTGATATGCCATATCGAATTAACGTCATATTTTCCTTTTTCCTTTGTTTGAGTTTGTTGAACAAAGGTCAGGATTCGTGTCCTTGTATGGCACTTCATTGAGCATTTGAGTGGGGAAACATGCACTGGAGATTGATTCTGGTATTCTTGATGAACACGATTAAATCATGTTTAAAAGGTGCGAGTAGTTAACATTTAAATGCTAACATATCCATTTACTGAAAAATGTAAAATATCTCGTTAGCTAAATGTAAGCGTTAAGTTTACAAAATTTTTACTATTTCGATGTACTTAAATGTGGCAATTTAAGTATATAACTTGAAAATAA